CCTGGTAGCTAAGTTGAAAGCAAGCATAAGTTGTTGAGCCTAAACCTGTGTGGCAGAAGCTGTTGCCACTTGGAATAGAAGGTTGCTCTCCTGTTGCTTTTCTCCACTATAAATTGTGCAGAGTGTCTGACAGAATGAGGTCTGTAAAATGTGGCACTCCTATCTGAAGGATACTCCTAAGTGTTTGCAAATTAAAGCTGTTAGCATCCACTGAGAACAAATAACTTTTCTCCTGGTTTGGGGTTTTTTTTCTTCTGATGCATGAAATTAATTTTTATGTGTTTTGTTTGTTGTTCTCTCTTCTGCCAAATATTGTAGGACCTTTGAAATGCCTGGAATCGTATCTGCTTCTCTCCATCCCTTTTTTGTCTTTGTGCCTGAACATTCTCCTCACATTCTAGCTGAGACCCCACTAGGAAGACACATCTGAGTGGTTCTGCTCTCTCTGACAGGGCGGATGTCTGTACAGAGTTGCAAAAAGTAAAATTGATGGGTCATTTTATTGTACACTGTAAAATAAGGGTAATTTGAAAGGTCAGTCTTGTAGGAGGCTCATTTTCCATTGAAAAAATAATTTGTAATTAATAAATTCTTCACTGGTTTAGAATTAAGGACTCAAGAAATTTTTTAACGTTTTGTGTTTCCTTATTTAACCTATGGAAGTATTATTCCTCTTAGTCCTGAGACTAGCAAAAGAGAATCAACAGAAAGCTTCTCATCAGGTTGAATGTACTCTGGATCAGGACAGAAATGTCCACTGTGTATTTACCTGGTAGCATTCACTAGTGATAGGCAGTGTTAGCAGCTGGTGCTCAACAACCTAACCGTTTGTTTACACTTCTTTTGTACACTGAATTTTTAGGCCCCAGCAAACTTGTTAGGGATGCTAAGTGTCTAAATACTAACTTGATTAAGTACAACATAAATCAGGTATTGGATGGAATTAATAGTTCTTAAAGTATCTGTAGATCAATTTAATTTGATCAAATGTGCCAGTCTATGAAACTGAATAATATACTACTACATGCTTCCTGCATTTTATAGTAACAGCAAAATTCCTTTACAAAATGGATGCAGAAAAAAGAAATACAGCAGCATCAGCCTTTCAAGTTCATGAGGTCTTTAAGGATTCTTATGTTGTTCTTCCTTATTGCTAGTCTCTGAAACATGTGGAATATCAATTCATGCCATGAATTGGAATTTATAAAACCAGATCTAGTGGAAGAGATTTGAAAGTTACTGAAAATTGCAGGGCTTTCTTACTAGCCTAGAAAAAAAATACTGTGGGCAATTACCTTGGCCCAGTTTCATTGTCTGAAACATAAAATCTGAGAATAGCACAAAAACAAGGGCATTCCTCTGCAGATTTGTCCTCATTCTCCCCATCTCTCTACTCTTCTGCCTTTGCAGCCTTTCCTGTTGTAGCTGCTCGTGGTCCCTGGGGCAGAGGGGCAGAGCAAGAAAGATAATGGTTCTGGAAGGGAGGGAGAAACAAGGAGGGGAGACCTGTACCTGCTCAGTAGATCTCCTTTGGGTGTTTAGAGAGAAAATAGTTATTTTGTAGCTATCATAGTAGAAATTGGATCTTTGGGAACAGTAGTGCTTGGCGGTTTTTATAACCTTGTGCAGCGGGTTCCAAACTATCAGGGCCAGTCAGCCTACTAACAGGTTACAGCAGTTCTTGAGGACTGCTGTCCTGCAGCACTTAGTTAAACTTCAACACTGACAGCACAGTCACTCAATGTCACCTGGGTGCTCTTTGTAATTTTACGGGTCAGCTGCAGATCATCTGTGGCTGCAAGACCACAGTGGTCTGGGCTAGAACTGTAGCTTCATGCTAATGAAACCAAATGGACTTCTGAGGAAACACAGAATTATTTTGTAGTTACATAGGAGCCCTCCTAGTGTAGCATTATAAATAGTTTATGCCCTTGCTTCCTAAATACAAAAGAGAGGAGCCTGGGACAGAGTGTAAGGATAGCTGGGCACATCTTTGCTATGAACTGTTGGTTATATTGGCTTCAGCAAATCTCTGGCAGTTGTAGTGGCTGAAGATTTACTGTTCCAGGGATGCTTGGGGTCACAGGAAAATCAGTGGCAAAACAGAGAATTGGTGCTAGGCTTGAACATCTTTATCTGTTGTGTTAGTCATAAAACCATCTTTTCTCTGTTACATCTGATCTTTTCTAACCTTTCATCTGAGAAGAGCCTTGCATGTTGTCTGATAATATGTCTGTGGTTTGGAAAACTTTCATAAAACCTGGAATACCTGCAACAGTTTTCAGATTTTCTGTTTGTGAACATTTAGATTTTTCTTCATGTTACATTTGTGTTTTCAGTGCCTCACAAGAAGCTGATGGAAGCCACCTAAAAGAGAAATGTAGACAGGCTGTAGATCAAATCATGGAGCCACCACTGGGCCTTTGAGTAGAAGTCTGAGTACTTTCTTCATCATTCCACTGCAATTAGCAAGATCAGTCATTTTGTGGGGCCAGGTACTTGCTGGGGTTTGGTTTTGCAGAGCAGAGCATCTGCTGTCCCAGTAGATCCTAGTAATTGCCAAGGGCTATCAGAGAACCTAACACTCTGCTTCCCAAGCACTAATCAGAGAAATGCACAGACGTGCACACACAAACATATGAGGACCTTCCATTGCCATTTTAAGCAGAATGGCAAATATTGCTTGGAACAGGAACTACCCTTTTCTTCCACTTTTGCTTTCTGTTACTAATCTGAAATAGAGAGGGGTAAGTATTCAGAAAGGCTTTTCTGCAGTAGTGCTAAGTAATCTGTATAAAATCCCTGTTTAGAAAGTAGAGCAGATTTCTATTCAATCCAAATTTGGTGGGGAAAGATAAGACATTCAGCTCTCATTTGGGGATTTCTGTTAAAATTTCATATATTATTCCTAGCCTAAGCTCATCCACCTTCTGTCTAGAGCTTTTGAATTTTGTTGTATCTTTGCTCAAATAAAGTGCCTTTATTGTATGTGCTATTCTGCTGCATACAGGGCTACAATGACCTAATTCATCCCTGCACATTTCTTTTCTGAAGTTACATTGACTGAGTTTCCCCAGTAATTTTTTTTAATTCTTCAACCAAAACTGTGATATTTTCCTGAATCATCATCTTCTTCCGTGTATTTTCTGAACAGCTTTCCCACATTAGTCATACTGATGCCAAAGACAGAGGTATTCTTTCATTTCCAGCTCCTTGTATCCCTGTTTATACATGTTTCTTGGTATTGCTAGAAGTGGAATGGAAACAGTCAGGCCCAGGAGCCCACAGGAATGCCTGAACCTTTTGATCTCCAGTGGCACTGCAAAACTGACTCCTGCACAGGGAAGAATTTAGTTCCTTCCTTACTATTCATGTGCATCAGCCTGCCCAAGTCTAATACTATGTGTAAATACTAAGATGCTTGAAAACAGGCACTGCTGCAATGCCTGCTGAGGACCCAGAAGCTTTGGCTGTGCCCCAGAGGCAGAAGATGTGATTGTCCCAATGGGTTTGCAGTTTTTGCAGTTCTTGCAGTTCACATGGGTCATGTGCAGTCTTTCACAGACAAGGTATGAGCAGTGTATAAGGCAAAGAAAAGATTGTGTTTGGGGGTTGTGACATCCAACAGTAAAAAATGCAATAGAAATTAATAGAATTGCATCTTAATTGAAAGAAAAAAAAAATACTCCTATGGACAGTGACAAACATGCTGCTCTTGTTCAGCTGTCTCAGTAAATACCAGTAAGCAGCTCTGTCAGACGCATAAGCCTTTGCTGAGTGCACAGTCTCATAGTGAGAGGCAGATTATGAGACAGCTGAGACTAGCAAGCAGGTTTTGCATAGTTTGGTATATCTAAATAGGTGCTGAACTGTATAAGCCAGCAGCCAAATGCTCTGCCTTACAGATCAGCAGCTTGGGAAGAATTATTCTGAATAAAAAAAGGGGAACAAAAAATAGTTTCTGTTCAGGGTACAATGGTAAGAGGCTGGGAAGCTGCAGCTGGCAATGTACAAGACTGTGTCTGTTGGTTTTGTGATGATCAAAGGCTTTGACAGGATTGATTGATGTGTTTATCCATTCCCTATTTCTAAGAAAGTACTCAGCATTTTACAGGCAGGTAGACAGTTAAAGGCACTTCCCCTGAAGTTAGTACTATCTGGGCAGTCCTGTGCATGTTCTAGGCCTCCATCAACACCTCTCACCTGCTGTCCTTTTGTCTACTGGAAAAGGCAAAGTATTTTTTCTATTCTGTAGATGGGAAAATGTGGTGGAGTGGGCAGCTGCTGTGATCAGGACAATGTCAACAGAGTGATAGTCTGCTTATCTTTACCATCTGCTTCCTCAGAAGGCTACTTGGATTGTTGTCTGTACCTAAGCCAAAACACTCCTGGAGCATTCACTGACGAGCTCAGCTATCCCTGGACCAGACATGAAAAGCTTACCACTTCCCAGTTCTAAGTAGCTGAGTCTTACCTGAGCAACAGGAAGGGGTTTCATTCTTCCTTTTGTTTTCACCACCTAAGGGGCTAATCAGCACAGGAGGCTCCACAGGTATCAACCCAGTATTCTGTGTCCCACCAGGGCACGTCACGCTACAGAGTCTAGGTTTCACTTACACTTGTCCTTATGCCAGTGTCACTCTGGACCCTAGACACAGCCTTCATCCTAAGGAAGTGGTGGAGGGAAGCAGGAGCTCTTCAGTCCTGGCTGGGTATATACTACAGTAGAAGAGGTTTCTGTTGTCTGCTTTCCAGGCCTTAGCCCAGTAGAGATGGTAAAAAGCCCATTAGGTCCAAGTGGATCTGTCTTTTCAGGTAGATTGTCCTGCATGTCTTCAGGATAAAGTACTGGTTATAACACAAGGCTGCTAGAAAAAGGGTCTACCTTCTGTAAGTTTCCCATGCTTGCAACCTAAGCGTCGCCAAATTTGAGCCATAACTAGACCAAATGCACCTTTTAACTACAATGCCGTCTTCTCTTCTCTTTTTGGTCTCTAAAGCCAGCACTAGCCCTACATCAGGCCTTGGGACTGCTGCCATCGTAGGCATTCTCATTGTTATCTTTGTGCTGCTCCTGGTGGCTGTGGATGTCACCTGCTACTTCCTGAACAAGTGTGGCCTGCTGATGTGCATTGCTGTCAACTTATGTGGCAAATCCGGCCCAGGAGCCAAGGGCAAAGACATGGAGGAGGGCAAAGCCGCCTTCTCGTGAGTACTGCCATCACTTGTATTGCTCCTGTTGATCAGCATGTCCCCTCAACAGCTCTGGAAAATAAACTCTTTTAGGGAGTTCTGGGTTCCTCATCTCTGATGGGAGGGTACTGAAAAGATCTGGGGCCACCGTGGTCCTGCTTTATATTTCTAGGAATGGCTTTCTTTAGCCATTTCTCTGGTTTTGTCCTGTTCCTGTTAGTAGCCATCAAATGGCTGGCCCAGATGCTGGACGTCACAGTGGTCTTCTGTGCTATAGGTAATAATTGGAAGGGGATGTGACAAAAAGAAGTAATCTGCTGTTTAGGCCAGTCTGTTTCTGTTATTAGCTATCGACGTTTGCAGCATGTCTTTGCAGAAGGGTACCTCATGTGAATGGCAACTAATCTCCATGCAATTCCTCTCTTACAGGAAAGATGAGTCCAAGGAGCCTATTGTGGAGGTGCGGACTGAGGAGGAGCGGACCCCCAACCACGATGGGGGAAAACACACAGAGCCCAATGAGACCACCCCGCTGACGGAGCCAGAGTATGTTGGCATTAGTCAATCTTAGCACATGGTCAATACATTTCTCTCAGTTGCCTCAATCCCTGATCTCTCATGCCCACGACTTAGGGCAGGAAGAGGGAAAGAAAGGTAAAATCTCCACATTTTACTTGTGACATACCAGTGAGGAAATGCCTCCTCTCTTCCTCAAGATTCAGTGACTCCTATTTCCAGCACTGGAAGGGAAAGGGGAGTAAAGCAATGTTTCTTCAAAGACCTGTCTCTGTCAGTCCTGTTCAGTGTGTCGATTAGGTACCTGTCCAGGTTCACTACAAAGGATCCAGAGCAAAAGCAGCCCCCAGCTAGCCCTAACTCCTGCCTGAGCTCTGCCCTAGCGATGCTGCATGAGTGCTTGAATGCCCCAGGGCGAGAGCTTTCCTCTCTACTGATAGCAGCAGAATAGCTATGCTCTGGGAGGCATGGCAAGTCTGATTACTCCATGAGAAGGCTGAGAGCTACCTACGAGTTTACTTTATATCTGAGAACTTGTTTGGGGCCTGAATCTGGGAATCCATGTTAGCTGGGATGGGCAAGGTTTAAGTATTGCCCACTGTCTACATTAAGCTCTTTCCTAGACTGCTGGAGTTCTAGTGTTCTCCAAATACCTCTCCATAGCTTCTGGAGCAGTAATGAGGGGAATTCACTTGAAGTTGCCGAAACGCTTATTAATATTTGGGTCAGGTTTGGGATTGATGGCACAAGTTGGGTTCCTTTCCTTCAGCAAAGTCATTATAGCCGTGAGGTGGTCAGGCTCTTCCACGTGCACTCTGCTCACCTCCTTTGATTAGGTTAGCAGTGGGGCCCGCTGGTAAAATGGCTCTGCTGGAAGGCTCTGTAAGGTGAGAGGAAAAAGTCCTAAAGCAGCACTGATATGCAAATGCGCAGCAGTGAGGAATAGCTGGGATTTATATTGTCCTGATTTTCTTGGCTAGTCTTACCAGAGTTTTAACTCAATTATCCTCCTCTATGAAGATTTTCTCCCTGTTAATACGTCTGGGGTGGTGTTCTCAGGCACACTGGCTCTCATGGAATAAACCATTTGTTTTTCCAGCTTGGCATCTGTGTACTTTTTGTGACAACCAGTGCTACATTATGTCTGCTAAAGCACTGTTACACTGTCAGACATTGTCCTAAAGGAAACCTTACTCCAGCCAACACAACAGGCTGGAATCTGATCAAAAGGGCAGAAAAGATCACTTCAAAGCTGCATGTATGTATGTGTATGTACATATATATATATGCATTATATGTGTGTGTGAGAAAACTAATTATATTCTGTGTGGTTTGATGAAGACCTTAGACTTGCGGGCAAAAGGCCAGGGCCAAGATGAGGGACTGGATTCAGGGGTCCTACACTGGGACCTTGTTGCATGGTGACAGATGGCACAGGGCTGCAAGTTCAGGGAACTGGTAGAAAGCTTGGTGAGGACTTGGAAGGGGCTGAGAGGAAAGCTAGGCTAAAAGAGAAGAGTCTCTGCGAGTTCACGGGGTTCTGTTTGGCTAAGACTTGATCCAAAATCTGTGTGAACAAGCCATTCCTGAAGGTTGTGTACTCTTTGCTCTTTTTCTCTTCCTAGTTACTCTTCAGTCATCCTAGCCAGCCCTTGCCACATTTGACTTTTGACAAGTTTCTGCTCCTCTGAGTACTTCTCCATGTTCTGTGTGTGTTGTAACCATGTGCCACGCTGCTGCTGCACCACCTACTTGCCTTCTCACTCTTACATTCCGTTCCCCTTTCCCCTGCTGTCATTTACGGGCTTCATTGTCTCTATATCTCTTCTACTCCTGTCCTCTTCACAGGCACCCTGCCGATACCGCAGCTACTGTTGAGGACATGCTGCCTTCTGTAACTACGGGCACCACTAACTCTGACACTATCACTGAAACCTTTGCCACTGCTCAGAACAGCCCCACCAGTGAGACCACTACGCTGACCTCCAGTATTGCCCTGCCAGCCACAGCCATTCCTGACTCAAACTCCATGTCGCCTGGCCAGGCTCCTCCAGCCAAAGGGGCAACCACCTCAGTCTCTTCGCCATCACCCTCCTCCACCCCCAAAGTGGCCCCCCTTGTTGATCTCAGCGATACCCCAAGCTCTACTCCAGCTACTAATAATTTGTCTTCAAGTGTCCTGTCCAATCAAGGTGCAGTGCTTAGTCCTAGTGCTGTTGCTAACGTGGCTGAGACCTCCAAAGTGGCAGCTGGTAACAAGCCAGCTGCAGCAAGCCCTGTAAATCTTGGCCCTTCAGCTCCGTCAGAGCCCAAGCAGGAGGTCTCAAGCACCAAGAGCCCTGAAAAGGAAGCTGGGCAGCCCAGTACAGTGAAGAGCCCAACAGAGGCAACCAAGAACCCAAGCAATCTGAAGAGCGAGGCTGCTTCAGGCAGCATCACAAACCCCTCCCAGAATGAGGACTTTAAAATGGACGAAGGGACCTTCAAGACACCAGACATTGATCTTGCAAAGGATGTTTTTGCAGCTCTTGGCACTACTACTCCTGCCAGTGCGGCTACTGGGCAAGCTCGTGAGCTTGCTTCTTCCACCGCAGACAGCTCTGTACCTGCTGCACCTGCAAAGACCGAGTATGGCTGCCTTTAATCTTGTGTTGGTTGTGTGCTGTCTCTTGTGCACTAGTGCTTGTGCTGTGTTCTTGTGGTGTGTTCTCTTAACTAATCTCATTATTTCCCTAGCAAACTAACTCACCTGTGAACCAACTAAACAGGTCTTGGCTGTAAAGGTCCAGGGAGAAAGGAGGAATAGGCTGTGCCAGGTTAGCAAAGACAAACCCAGGACTTTATTATAAATAATGTGTTATTCTGTAGACTTCTATGCAGCTTTGTCTATCATAGGTTATTCCTCTGTGGAAGAGATCAAAAACAGTTCCGTTTGGTGCAAAGGAAGTGCTGTCCTTTAGGGCACCGAGCTCCTGCAGCTCAGTGAGCACAGCCACCCAAATGCAATTTCCTAACAGATCAGTGAAGCCCTTCAGAACTTATTTCAGTTTAAGGCAGGGCAGAAACTAGTGCCCTGTGAAGTTGTACGAGTATGGTACCTCTGGGTTTGTCCCTAAACTGGCAAAAGGATAAGGCAGTGTGATCCTGTCTGAGAGAGGGGGAGCAGTCACAGCACAGTTGGGTCAGGAGAACTTGGCAGTGTGTTGTTATGGAATGTTAGAGATGAGTCTCCATCCACTGGACTGGGTGTCCTTTGTACCCAGCTGATTTATTCAGAGAGCACAAGCATGCCCCTAGGCAGGACAACCCTAGGGTCCTTTGGAGCCTTATGCCATCTGTACAGGATCCACTTCCCTCAGCTGAAATGAGTGTGCGCCTTGTGTTTGGCAAGAGACACTAGAACTGGAGAGTGAAAACAGCATGAAGTCCTCACCTGGGTAACTGGCAAGGGTCCCCAGCTGTTGTTCAGATGTTGGACAAGAACACTCTTGCTGTGTCGGTTTGGATGGCAGTTACTGACAGAGCCATGAGCACAGAAGCCTGGAAAAGGCTGATGGAAAATGGATAAGCCGCTCTTGAGGGAACAAGTACCTAAGGTTCCTGTTCCTTCTGGCTTCCTATTTGGACACCATGTGTTGATAGAGGCAGGATGACATAGGAATATCTCGTCTTTCTTACCTAAGCAGGATCTGTGCTTTATCATGAGTAAGAGTCCTGAAAAGGCAGCTCAGATTTGTTGTGGGAGAAGCTCCTAAAACCAAAAGACTGAGTTCACACTGCATCTTTAGCTTTTGCAAAGGAAAGTGTGTTGAGGACACAGGCTCTGCACTGTCAGCTATATTGTTGCCAAGAACCTAACTAGCTGTTCTAGAGCTAGCTAACTCACATGAAACCAGGCTATGCTACAGCAACCACACTGGAGACATACCCTAAGTCACAGCTTTGGTTAGAACTTTTTCCATCCTCACATCTCCAGGAAAATTACCTCGTTCTGGAAGCTCTGTATTTAATCCAAAATAAAGCATTGGCCATGATCATCGGCTTTGAGGCCCTGATGGCAATGTGTATTAGCACTCACAGAAAAGCAGTCAGACACTGTAGGACCGAGAACCAGGCTCTTTTCCAGATTTGAGTGAAAACCCAGGCAGTTTTACTGTAGTAATCAGGTGCCTTTACATCTTACAGCTCACTCTGGTCTTCCTACCTCCCTGCTGTGCTCCTGCCCACCCTTAAGTCAGGAGACGTTCCTGCCTTGTGACTGTTCTACAGCACTGCCACATAGCTGTGCAGCATCTGTCCCTTCCTGGAAAGCCTGGGTGGCACAACAGATGCACTAGACTTGGAGGGAACCAGGCAGCCCTGATGAGTGCAGCTGAACCTCTCCCAAGCTGAGAAATCCATGTTCACTTCAGTTCACTGCACCTAAGGCCACTGCCCTGTCATGCTGGGTGCTACAGCGCGTCAAAACAGCATACAGAATTGTGATCTGGCACTGAACTGAAAGGAGGTAGGAAATGCATTAGCCGTAGTAAGGAAACATTTCAACTGAATTAACGCAACTTGGTCTGTGTCACATAAATGAATTCTTGGTATGGCAGAATGCCGAGCTGCGTTCTTTCTGCTGATCCAGCCACCACCTTCTACCTGTGCTGCTCACTTGCTTCCCTTGGCGCAAATCAGTATTGCAACCACAGGCTAACATTCATCTCACCTGCTTGTCAGGGTGAATTAAGATTGCAGTCATCTCAGACTAACTTTGTGGCTAACGGGCTGGAACAGGCACTTCTTTAAGGAAGCCACCAGATACGCCTTGTGTGGCACTTTTCATGAGTATGAAGAGAGCCTTGGACAAACAGGCTTTTCTGATTCATCAGTAAAGTGCCAAAAGACAGGCTGATGAACCTGAGCTTTAGCCTGTGAGGATGCTGACCTCCCTTGTGCTTGTGAAAACGTGTTTGACAAAATTCACTTCTGTGTTTCCCTTCCTGCAACCTACCGGGGAATTCTGGGACTGACTTCCTGTAGGGAAAAAAGATTTTCTGCTAAAACGGTGGTCTGTTTTAATAGGACATTTGGGTGACATAAATGAGTGATGGTAAAATCAAATCCCTTTGCAACTGTGAGTTTTCCCTTTTGCTCCTTTTTGCACACCACAACATGCCTTGCACCTCTGCTGCAGCCTGACAGCTCGTCCTACTAGTATGTTAACTGAGGGCAGGAGAAAAATCAAAAAAGATTTCACTAGAGCTAACTGAAGCTGGGGCAGGGGGGCAGTTTGGTTTTACTTATTTCTGCATCTGGAAATGCTCTTTTTGCTCTAGCAGGGTGATATATTTGTTTGTTCCCAGAAACTTACTCTTTCCTTATCGCTAATTCAGCAATAGACCGTCTATATTTCTCTGCCTCTAAACTGTGCCATTTTGGTGATTCTTCTTCAGGAAAATCCCAGTAGAAGACAAATCTGAAGCGCAAGCAACGGAAACTAAGACACCTCCAGCAGAAGTCAAGACGGTCCCCAATGAAGCCACACAAACAAATGAAAATGAGAGCAAAGCATGATCAGCAACAGATGAAAGCAAATGACAGAACAACTTCACCCACGCATTTAAAACACAAAACACAACATACATCTCATTCCTCTAATGTCTTTTGCCTTTTTTTAAAAAAACAAACAAAACAGAAAATGCATAAATGGGGGGAGGGGGGGAATCTCTCTTTTTCTTTTCTTCTTTTTTTTTTTTTTTTTTGGTTAAGATTTCTAGAAAGGTTCAATTTGTTGCGCACTTGCTTTTAAAAAGTTATACATTTTGAAAACAGGGTTAAACCCATAACCAAATCAGGGCTTAGCTGACCCTGTGTATATTCAGATAAGCAAAGTTGCAAATACCATTTGCAGTGTGGTTGGGAAGCTCAAAATGAACTAGTCCTAGACAAAAAAAAAAAAAAAAAAAAAAAAAAAAAAAGACCCTGTTCTGTCCTTCATTAGTATAGCAGATATAACCACTGTACTGCTCGGTACAGCTGGTACTTAATGAACAAAGTCCACAATTTATTTTTATACTTTTCAGTCGAGTTTGAAATATGTAAATCCTCATAAATAAGTTATAATTTCTGTTCACCTTGTATTTGTTCAGTATGCAAAGTGTCTTGAGCTCTTTGTGACTGAATTCTGTTCTCCACATTAGACACGTATTTGGGTTTTACTATTATCTTTTTTTAGGAAGAATGCCAAAATTGCAGCTTCGGGGATATATTTCAATTTGCAGTATTCAGACTCTCCGTTTCTTTAAATTTTACGTTAATTTTTGCCAAGTTTTGTTCTTTCCAGTGTTTACAATTGACAAATATTTTTTTTAACTTTTGTTGTGTTTAAATGTATGTGTAAAATAGCTGCCTTTTTTTTTTTTTTGTAAGTAAATACAGTCTATAGATACTAGGTTAGCAGCATGCTTGCTTTGCAAAGGGAGACATTTTAAAACATGGATGTTTACAGTAGTTGTTTCCCCTTTATCTTTTCTTAATTATTGTTGTTATTGTTATTATTATTATTATTATTATTATTATTATTATTTCTTACTGGAGTAAGAAGAAAAGTAATGCTGGGGTTTGGTTTGGGTTTTTTTGGGGTGGGTGGGGGGCATTGCAACCACTTGTCACCAATCAGGGTCTTTATCCAGCAATCCACATAAACACACGCTTAACTTGGAATGAGAGAGTTGCTGGTGAGAGTCCTTCTACACTTAAATTTACTGAAGAGTTTAAGTCCCTCGCTGGACCTGGGCCTGACTGCATAAGAGAAATATCACCTCTGCTTTTTTAGGACATTCTCCCCTTTCCTTCATGGAACCCTCCCGGAGCTTTGAGAAGCAGAAGGGAGATTGTACAGTTAGGGCTGGTCTGGTCTCATCTCAGATGTTTGATTATATCAATTCCTCCTTAATATGTCAGTAAACACCATTTCCTTTGACCCTAGAAAGCAGATTTAAAAGCAAAGACTTTCTGCACAGGGGTGCTTGGCACCATGCAAGACCCCTCCTGCAAAGCCAGCTCCATCAGCAGTTGGACTAGATGATTGTTGTAGGTCCCCTCCAACTGAACTATTCTGTCCTATCACATGTGTATTGAGTCATTCATCTATGCTCTGCAGAATCAAAACCATGAAATCAAGAGCAAGCGCTTGGAAATCAGTGCCAAGAGTCCCAGTGATTTCACTTGTCTTGGCATCATGTCTAACAGTTGGAAAAGGGGGCTGATGTAGTACATGTATTATCACGGAGGGGGGAGCTTATCAGTGGGATAATTCATCATTGGGAGTCATGCAGTAACTGAGATTTTGGGGTGAAAAGAAAGGAGGCTTGAGCAGAAGGAAGGCAGAGGTTTATGGGGGAAGACCAGCCCATTGTATAGACATGTTCCTTCTGTTGGGGTTTTGTTTTTTTCTCTTTTTTTTCTTTTGTTTTCTTTTTTATTCTACTTTAGATCTGCAAGCTTGTGCACTGTGGGTGCGTGACTATTTCAGTGTGAAACGTGTTTTTGTCATAGTATTGAAATAATAAAAGCTTCAACATAGTTTGGATGTGGAAGGTGTAGCGATAGTTCAGATTTGAAAAAAAAAAATATTCAGGAAAAAAAAAAAAAAAAAGAGAGAACAACTCTTACAAGGAACAGAAGCCTTTAACTGAAAAATCAGACCGAGCTGGCTATGGCATCCATTCCGTTGTGCTAAGGTGATGAACAGAAGGATGATGGGGGGGGTGGGTAGACTGCAGTTTGGCTCAGGTATATTGAGCCACTTTTATCAGTGTATTCTTCTGAGTATGCAGTCTTTTACAGTAGCATCACATAATTTCAAACTGTGAAAAATAACGGTCTTGTCATTTGCTGAGAGTGGGGTTTTTTGCATTTTTTCCTTAGCTGCTGGGATGAAAATGGAGGATGACTGGATATGCAGGCATAGACACCCATGCAATACCCATCCTGAGCAGGATATCAGGGCAGGATGGGTCCTCTCTTCAAAGCCTTGTGTCAAATTCAGCCCTTGCATGACCCATCACAGCAGTGTCGGTATAACAATGGGGGAGTTTGGCCCACAGGCCCTTGGATTTTTCTTTGAGATATCAATCCATAAAACGCAGCACAAAAAGCTGCTATGGTGTCTACAGCTGAGGAGAGTCCTTGGGGCAGCAGAGGACCCGTGGGTAGGGAACGTGTACCTCCATTTCTGTGGATGACCACAACAATTTGTTCCTCATTTCTGCAGTTTTTAACTGCTTTTGTCATCTGTGTGCTTTACCTCGTTGAGTTATAACCCACTGAGAGCTGAGCGGCTGATAGGAAACAAATGCTGCACAATGCAAATGACCAGAAACATGGTCAGTGACACTGGTCAGCACCTGTTGGGTGAAAATCGTGGTAACTGTCACCTGGATTGGCATTTCTGTCACAAAAGGTGACCAGCTCAAAGCCTGATCCAACACCCAGCTGCGTCATTAGAAAGTACCCTGCTGACTGCGGTGGGTTTGTGTCAAGAGCAACGGACTGAGCACCATTCCAAGGCAGAAGTGAACCCTGTGATTGCCTGAACAATGGGAGTGTCCATACAACTCCTTTTTAATGTCCTCATGACACCTCCCAATACTTGTAGATTAATTTTGGAGAGTGGTTTTATACTCGCACTTAATGAAGAATACTTTGCTTTCACTTAGAGGTACCCCATTTCCAAGATAGCTTAGGCTTCATTGCTTTTATTTAAACCGTTGAAGAGGGACCAACCTGATGCCGTTTATGCTGTATACGTTTATATATGTATCCATGCCATACATATATATCTATATGGCAATGCAGACTGATCAGCTTCTAGTTGTGGAGTGATTACATTTCATGCTGCACCATATGTAAAGATGGTAAGATAATAGTGCATCCAGTTGTTCAGCTTTTAGAGTGGAGTTTTATTTTCACACTTTTCTATGGAGCCTTCAAACCCCAGATTTTCACACTAGACTGTTTTGATAGTTGTTCTCAGACCCTCCATTGACATCCTTACCCAGCATTCCCTACTTTTGGGGGCCTTCTATCTTGTTAAAAAAACAAAAAAACAAAAAATCTTTTTACCAAGTGAAACATCGACTCCACCTTTATTCCCATTCTCACTGGTGTAAATACTGATACTAACTGAGGATTTTGACTTTGCATTCTGTCAGAATACTGTGTTCAAATAAAAATTACAAAAAAAAAGCTCATGCCTACAGTCTGCCCTTTTTTAGATGCTCTTCTAGGTCCTGTGTACAGACGTGGGTTCCCAGGGCTGTATTTGCACATGAGCTTAACATGGAGGGAGCGGTCCCGTTGTGGTTGTGGCATGCCCACAGCATGAGTGAAGCATCTGCCTGAGGCTCGGGGTTGTAGACAAGCAGGAAGTGCAACTGCACTGTGGTGTTAGTGAAGCAGTCATGTTGCAGGGGCCAAGCTGACAGATCTCTGGACGGTGGCAGTGGGCCGCTGTAGTGCCTTTCCAAGCTTGGGATGTGCAGGAAGAACAGCTGTCAGCACGCAGTTCCACTGATGGGCTCTTCCGAAGTGCTGAGTGTCACAACAAGGAGTCTTCCTAAAGTTTGTTTCTCTGTCCCACCATAGACAATCTCCTTGAGAGAACTAATACACAAACGCAGTTTCACCTCTACTGTGAAACAGGGACAGCTGCATTTCCCGTAAAAAGGCGCTCCTCTGTTCACCAGCTGTGAAAGTTCTGTGTGCAGGTGAGTGTTGGCTTTAAAAGGTGTCCTTCACCCATCCTGAATCGGGTGCCCAACCTTGCTTAATGTGGGATGAATCTAATTAAATTTAATTCTGCCCTAACCATTGATCTCCCAGGACCGAAGGAGAAATGAGAGCTCTGATACCTAGCAATAGTTGGGTGCCAGAATTGTTCACAGAAAAAAAAAAGAAAGTAAATGTATTGAGCTAAAGTACTTACTATCCCAAGAGAACATCCTTTTCCTTTCTGCTTCCTCTCCCGCGCTTTGCCCTCTATTCTTGACTGCTGTTTATACTGCGGTCTGCAGTAAGACAGTATTTCAGCAGAGCTGCTGTGCTTGGCCCCGTATGTCTTTGGTACTAATGCTTGAGAAAAGGCTGTCCCAGGGAAAGGGACAGAAAAAATGCACAGGAAACAATCCCATCTTCTTGGGAGCTTCTTTCATCAGGTGTCTGCCACTGCAGAATTCCTTTTGAATTCATGTTCCAGATTCATGCTCTCAGCTCCTTTCTATCTGTCATTTTCCTTCCATCAGAATTCCTGCCTTGCCTCACCCAACTCTTTCTTTTACACAGTTTGTGGCGTTTTCCCAGCCTACTTTGTTCCTGCAGAGTTCCTCCCTATTCCAGTAAGTGGCATGTAGACGGCAAAATGGTTCTGTATTCAGATACTGATTTCTGCTTTGTTATACTGCATGTTTGCAATACCACATTTTTCACGAGAACCCACCGTGAACAATGGAGAGGAGGCAGATGTGATACAATGTCCGTCCTCAATCATATGCACACATGCAATTGTATCATACAGCTTGCGTCTGCAGGAAAGTTGGAAAGTCAGGAGATGCTCTGGAAATAGCGTATTTATTTTTTTCTGTCTTATTTTTTCTTTCTCTTTTTTCTAAAATTTTAGCTCTAAAGTGCCAAAATGCCAAACTTTCCGTAATTTTTCTAGTCTGGGGTTGCAGGGGGGGTTGTCTGTTTACTTTTTCTTAAGAATACCTCCACAAATTCGGGCAAAGTAGACTTTATTTTCACACAAAAGTTTCCACTTAGCTGAAAAAGAGCTGTTTTTTCTCACTACCTAACCCTCTGCACAAAAAAATTTCAACTACTTTCAAGTCAAGAAATTTTAATTGATAAAAGTCATTGCTGCTGTCTCAAGGGAAGTCTTTGAGGTTGCCTTTTTCTGTGTTCCTGGCATTAGCAGCTGCTTCCCTGATTCACACCAGTGCTGCCTCTGCGTAATGCCTGGCGGATGGACTCTCTTCCCTGGTGTTTGGCTTGTTTCCTGCTGTGGCACCTCAATGAACCATGAGAAGCTCACAGTGTTTCCTCTTCTCTCAGAGACTGATCAAGGGGCCTGGAGCACTTGGCCTACTTTACTGTTACCGTAAAGCACATGCCCACATGAGAAGAGTGATGAGATTTCTCTCCCTAGAGTCGGGGTTGTGCTCAATGGCAAACAACTGAAAAATTCTTTACTAGATTTTTGTATTTCTTCAGCCATTCATCAATCTTCAGACCTACCTTTCTTGGTGATTTTAACTTGTGTCTCCCTCTGTTGAGGCCATGGCACCCAACTGTCAGTATCTGCATGGCTATCTCCTTTTACCACAGGCTGGGCTGAAGAGTAAGTCTAAGTGGGGTGGGGAGGCCTTAAGGGAGGTGGCGGGAGATCTGCTGCAAACAGTTTATTCTCTCTCTTGACTCTTCTAGACATTCTAGTTAGCTGCCTTGTCATCAGATATAAATATATGAATATACAGGCACATGCTTTCAGGGCATCATTTGAAGTGCTTCTGTACTGAACTGTACGGAAATATTTAGACGCTTGGACATCATTTCAGGAAAGGTGGCTCTCCCCTCTGCACATTAGCCAGTTAAGCTCTCTACTGTTTGTTGCAAACTGACAGGAAAATGCTGCACCTAGCACAGGCTGGCAGAGCTCCAGGCAGGGAGCATGCACCACAGCCATGCTCTGAGTAAGGGACTGGCAGATCCTGCAGCGGAGCTGAGTAGACAACTTTTTCATTTCATTTGCTGTAAGGAAATTTCTGCCTGGCTGCTAAATGAATTCCAACCCTTATTTTCCACAGCCGCATCACAAGCTTCATCCCGCCCACAGAGGCTCAGGTCATGCAGGCTTCTCTTCGTGTTTCTCTGGCTCGCTGGTGCTGCTCATATTCACCTCACTCTGCTGGGAGCTCTGACACGTCAGAGGCCCCACAGCAGTAGAGCACAGTGTCTGCTGGCTCCTCTAAGTTACTTTATAGTAGAGCACATGAACAGCATTGGGAGGGAGCAGTGGCTTCCTATTCAGCACTAGCAAATTACACCCTTTTCCTCTGTAGCCCTCCTGCAGGGCCTAATGAACAGAAGTAAACAATGGATCTGATGGCAGAATGAAATCTGACTGCATCTGTGGAGAGAGAAGGGGGAGCTGAATGGGAGGAGCAGAAATAAAGACCATTTTGATGCAGGTGTCTGGGAGTAAAGGCAGGATCTGCCTACAGCGGGGCTGCATCTTTAAGCTGCATTGCTTTGCTCTCCAGGCCACTGAGCCAGTGGGGTATCCCGGAGGCAAGAGAGGATCACACAAAGCTGGCAGCCCAGAGTGCATTGGAGGCCGAACTGCAGCAGCCAGTCCACCTGATGTGAGGGGAGGGACTGCAGGAATAGCGCTTGCTCAGTTTTCCCCCCATCTGGAGGGAGTTTATCTGCAGATTCACAGCCATCAGAGAACCTTTCTGCCTGTCCTTCCCTTGGCCCCATGAGCCTTTCACAGTGCCGTTGCGGGGGAGGCAGGAACCGAGTCAGCCTCTC